GGAAGCACTGTCTGGAAGGCGAGAGGGGCTTCCAAAGGGGGCACCGTTGAGAAGAGCGAGGAGGCTTCCAAGGGAGAGCAATCGTCTGAGAAGAGCGAGAAGGCTTCCAAAGAGATGGCAATCGTCTGAGAAAGACGAGAGAGGCTTCCAAAGAGAGAGCAATCGTCTGAGAAAGAAGAGCGAGAGAGGCTTCCAAAGAGAGAGCAATCGTCTGAGAAAGGCGAGAGAGGCTTCCAAAAGAGAGAGTCTGAGAAGAGCGAGAGAGGCTTCCAAAGAGAGGCATCGTCTGAGAAAGAGCGAGAGAGGCTTCCAAGAGAGAGCAATCGTCTGAGAAAGAGCGTGAGAGGCTTCCAAAGAGAGAGCCAATCGTTCTGAGAAAAGCGAGAGAGGCTTCCAAAGAGAGAGAGCAACGTCTGAGAGAGAGAGAGGCTTCCAAAGAGAGAGCACCGTCTGAGAAAGAGCGAGAGAGGCTTCAAAGAGAGAGCAACGTCTGAGAAAGAGCGAGAGAGGCTTCCAAAGAGAGAGCAACTGTCTGAGAAAGAGCGAGAGAGGCTTCCAAAGAGAGAGCAACCGTCTGAGAAAGAGCGAGAGAGGCTTCCAAAGAGAGAGCAATCGTCTGAGAAAGAGCGAGAGAGGCCTTCCAAAGAGGAGCAACGTCTGAGAAAGAGCGAGAGAGGCTTCGAAGAGAGAGCAAGTCTGAGAAAGGCAAGAGAGGCTTCCAAAGAGAGCAATCGTCTGAGAAAGAGCGAGAGAGGCTTCCAAAGAGAGAGCAATCGTCTGAGAAGGAGAGAGAGGCTTCCAAAGAGAGAGCAATCGTCTGAGAAAGAGAGAGAAGAGCTCTGGAAGAGCGAGACTTCAGAGAGAAAAAGAGCGAGAGGGCTTCCAAAGAGAGATAAGAGTCTGAAAAGAGCGAGAGAGGCTTCCAAAGAGAGAGCATCGTCTGAGAAAAGAGCGAGAGAGGCTTCCAAGAGAGAGCAATCGTGAGAAGAGCGAGAGAGGCTTCCAAAGAGAGAGCATCGTCTGAGAAAGAGAGAGAGAGGCTTCCAAAGAGAGAGCAATCGTCTGAGAAAGAGCGAGAGAGGCTTCCAAGAGAGAGGCGTCTGAGAAAGAGCGAGAGAGGGCTTCCAAAGGAGAGAGCAATCGTTCTGAGAAAGAGCGAGGAGGCTTCCAAAGAGGAGAGCAATCGTCTGAGAAAGAGCAGAGAGGCTTCCAAAGAGAGAGCAATCGTCTGAGAAAGAGCGAGAGAGGCTTCCAAAGAGAGAGCAAACCTCCAAGTCTGAGAAAGAGCGAGAGAGGCTTCCAAAGAGAGAGCAACCGTCTGAGAAAGACCGAGAAGGTTCCAAGAGAGAGCAACGCCTGAGAGTGAGGCTTCCAAAGAGAGAGCATCGTCTGAGAGAGCGAGAGAGGCTCCCAAAGAGAGAGCAATCGTCTGAGAAAGAGCGAGAGAGGCTTCCAAAGGAGAGAGCAATCGTCTGAGAAAGAGCGAGAGAGGCTTCCAAAGAAGAGAGACGTCTCGAAGAGAGAGAGAGAGAGGCTTCCAAAGAGAGAGTAAGAGTCTGAGAAAGAGCGAGAGGCTTCCAAAGAGAGAGCAATCGTCTGAGAAAGAGCGGAGCAGGCTTCCAAAGAGAGAGCAATCGTCTGAGAAAGAGCGAGAGAGAGGAGTCCAGAGAGAGCAATCGTTGAGAAGGAGAGAGAGGCTTCCAAAGAGAGAGCAAGAAAGTGTCTGAGAAAGAGCGAGAGGCTTCCAAAGAGAGAGCAATCGTCTGAGAAGAGCGAGAAGAGGCTTCCAAAGAGAGAGCAATCGTCTGAGAAAGAGCGAGGAGGCTTCCAAAGAGAGAGCCGTCTGAGAAGGCGAGAGAGCTTCCAAGAGAGAGCAAGAGGGCTTCCAAAGAGGCATCTCTGAGAAAGAGCGAGAGAGGCTTCCAAAGAGAGAGCAATCGTCTGAGAAAGAGCGAGAGAGGCTTCCGAGAGAGAGGTAATTCTTGAGAAAGAGCGAGAGAGGCTTTCCAAAGAGAGGTAAGAGTCTGAGAAGAGCGAGAGAGGCTTCCAAAGAGAGGCATCGTTTGAGAAAAGCGGAGAGGCTTCCAAAAGAGAGGCAATGTCTGAGAAGAGCGTGAGAGGTTCCAAAGAGAGAGCTAATCGCTCGGGATAGCGAGAGAGGGCTTCTCGCCAAAGGTAAGCGTCAATCGTCCTGAGTGGAGGAGAGGGCTTCACAGAGAGAGCAACGTCTGAGAAGAAGAGAGAGGCTTCTCCAAAGGAGAGCATGTCTGGATAGCGGGGGCTTCAAAGAGAGAGGCATCGTCTGAGAAAGAGCGAGAAGAGGCTTCAAAGAAGGCAACGTGAAGAAAGAGCGAGAGGGCTTCAAATGAGAGAGCAACGTCTGAGAAAGGCGAGAGAGGCTTCCAAAGAGAGAGCATGTCTGAGAAAGCGGAGAAGGTTCCAAGAGAGACAATCGTCTGAAAATCGAGAGAGGCTTTCCAAAGAGAAGCAATCGTTGAGAGGCGTGAGCAGGCTTCCAAAGGATACAATCGTCTGAAGCAGCGAGGAGCTCCAAAGAAGAGCAATCGTCTGAGAAGAGCGAGGAGGCTTCCAAAGAGAGCAATCGTCAGAGAAAGAGCGAGAGGGCTTCCGAGAGAGAGTAAGTCTGAGAAAGGCGCGGTAGGAGGTTCCAAGAGGAGAGAGAGTCTGCAGAAAGAGGAGAGAGGCTTCCAAAGAGAGAGCCATCGTCTGAGAAAGAGCGTGAGAGGCTTCCAAAGAGAGAGGCAATCGTCTGAGAAGGCGAAGTCAAAGCTTCCAAAGGAGAGCAATCGTCTAGAAGAGAGGGTTTCCAAGAGGCAACGTTGAGAAGAGCGAGACGAGGTTCCAAAGAGAGGCATCGTTGAGAAAGGCGAGAAGAGGCTTCCAAGGAGAGAACCGTCTGAGAAGAGCGAGGAGGACTCAGAAGGAGAGCAAGAGTCTGAGAAAGAGCTGATGAGTTCCACAGAGAGAGCCAATGTCTTGAAAAAGAGCTGAGAGGAAGAAGCAGAGGAGGGAGGAAGAGACAAGGAAGGAGAGAAAGAGAGAGAGATGATGGAGAGTGGGAGATGAGAGAGAGAGAGAGAGAGACAGAGCAGTGAAAGAGAGAGGAGAGATCGAGAGAGAGAGAGAGAGAGGAGAGAGGAGAGAGAGGGAGAGAGAAGAGGAGAGGAAGAGAGAGAGAGGAGGAGAGAGAAGAGAGAGAGAGAGAGAGAGGAGAGGAGAGAGAGAGAGAGAGAGAAAGTTTAAAAGATAGGATAGAGATGCTTATCAACTCCCTTTTAAAATCTACCACATGTCTCCAGTAAGTGTAAAATATAAACTGTTCCTTTCCTTACTCCCTACAATCCTTCTCTAGCTTCTTCCTTTCCCCTCATTCACCCTTCCAACAGCCCCATTGTTTTGCCCCCTAACCGTCTCAACTGAAACCGGAATGAGCTAACCGCCGCACGCGAACAAACGAACTTTTGTCCGTGTTTATAAATAGACATCAAATTATCTCATACCTATTAGTGATTAATTGTCTGGCAGACCATTCGACCTTCACTTCTTCTACGCCGTTTTCATTTCTGTTACTTTCAGCTTTATCATTTTGCAGCTTTATCATTATTATTCATTATTACCGTCCACTTATACCCGCCCTCCATAAATAAACAAATTTCGAATAACTTACTAAAACATTCTGGCCGCATTACGGAATCCCCGAACTCGTTTTAAATAATATAAATTTCAAAGGAAAAGAGACGGGAAGGAGGGTAAAAAAAATAATAATAAAATAAAAAAAATAAAAAATAAAATGAGTCAATGAATGTATAAACATGGCCTGCAATAATGGACACTAAACCAAACTCACCGCTGGCCACGTGACACAAAAACCCTCGCTCTAAGCAAGCAATTACTATCGATTCAATTGCTCTTACACTTAACCTTTTTACGATACTCCTTGCCTCTCATTTGTAATCGTCTTTTACCCACTTCGCAAACCCCCGTCTCGCCCTCTCTTCTCTCTCCCTCATTTCCGTATTTATTATTCCTTATTGTTTTCCCTCACGTTTCGCAAACATCGCCTGCTGGATATCTGATACACGTGCACACCCATGCACGCCCTCGCCGGCACCACCCTTCGGCTCCAATATCCGGTGTTGCCTCGGCTTCTTCTCTTTCTTCCTCTTCTTCGTCTGTTTTCTCCTCTTCCTCCTCTTCTTCTGCGACTTTTCTTCCTCTTCCTCCTGACGACAATACCCCCATCACACTTTTTTTTCTGGTACACCCTATCTTTGTTTTATAAAAGGAATACACTGTGCTTATACAATAATTTCACCGACAATCACAACAAAAATAAACTTAACATGGATGCCACAAGTTAATAAGACCATGCCAATAAATTCGTATGCAGATGAAGCAGCGACAAAAAAAACCCTCAAGGACATTACTGGAATTCTTAAACATCTTTACTACTTCACACGTTCTTTGGCGTCATTACGAACACTGACACCGAGACACCAACAAACACCCGCCCAATCCAGCTGACACGCTCGTTTGAACTCATACGTCAGAAGCAACAGCAATTCAATACTTGTTTTGGTCACAGATGCTGACTCTTAAATTGGGATGCGACGAATTCTAACCAACTCATGATCTTTCGTCTTACAAAATAACATCAGTGATTACAATACTCAATTTCGACGCATATGAAATAATAGTAATAGTAATAATAATAATAATAATAATAATAATAATAATAATAATTAATATAATAATAATAATAATAATAATAATAATAATAATAATAATAATAATAATAACAACAACAATAACTAAATAATAATAATAATACCAATAATAATAATAACTACGATGATGATATAGAAGTAAATACAGCAATGCCATGAGGATTACGATTGATTCCCCTATCGCTATTAGTTTAAATGTCTATAACAACAATCTTTTCGAGTGCGTAGAGGAATGGCCCTTTAACCGCCGGA